TTTTGGCACATTTTCCTGGTGGCATAATCTTTTATCCCATCTGTTTGTAGTTTTTATTTATGTTCCTGTCTTTTGTAAATGAAGGTGTTCTCCCAAAAATATAAATATAATGTTTTTTTCAATCTGCTATTTATTTTCCTACTTATTGATAGCTTGAAGTAGGGACCTACTTTTTTTTTTCCAAATAATTAACAAGTTATCCCAGAACCATTTATTAAAACTGTCTTCTCACCAAGTGTTTCAAATATCACATATATTTTAATAAATTCTGGGATATGTGTGTCTGTTTCTGAGCTTTTCCTCTTCCATTTTCTTATCTAAAGGCCCCTTGAGAATAAGGACCATGTCTTCTTGGTTCATTGTAGTTCCAGGGACTGACTCACTGCCTGAAATACAGTGGACGCTAGTAATGTTTGTTGACAGATCATCTATTTCTTCCTCTACCGTGGCTACATTTTATAATTACTGTAGCTTTATAGTAAGTATATTATTTTTATGTATTTTAGTCTTTTATTTTTATATTTTCCTTGGCCACTATAAAAAAGTATTTAAGATGACCATCAGAAGCATTTTAAGTACCAAAAAAACACACTAAGATTTTTATTAAAACATCATTAAATATTGTATGACTCACTGGGAAGAAATGTTACTTTTACATTGTTTTATTATCCAAAACATATTCTCCATTGTATTAAGTTTATTTACTTACTTGTCTGTTTAATTTATTTTGGTCTTACTCTCTTCCTTTAATAGGTGTAATTATTTTCCAAGTAATTCTCTTGGGACTTCTAGGTTTTAAAATAACATTGTCTATAAATAATAATTTTGTCTCCTTTCCAGTATTTATTGCATTGGCCAGAGTTGCCACTATTAAGTAACAGTGGAAAGAATAAACCTGACCTTGATTTTTAGTTGATTGGAAAGTACGGCCTTAAACTGGAAGGTCTGGGGACAGGATTGCAGTAGAGAACTCTTTGATAACCATGATTCAGGGTTAAAAGGAGTAGCTTGGAGGATTTGTATTTAATACCTTGAATAGCACCTGTCTTTATCATTTAAGCCTTCATTTTTAAGTCAGATCTGTACACTGGTTATTAAACTACACTACATTAAACTCCAGAACCAGAGGTGAGGTCATAAGTGGTGGACAGTACCTTTTTCCAAGCATCAGATCACAAGCGGTTCTCTGCATAACCAAACTCTGTGGTTGTGGAGTTTAGAATTTTTATTTTGGCATGGATTTCTGCCTTAAAGAATTAGTGCCTTCCTGGGTATGTTGTCTTTGAATTCAAAGTGTGAGGTATCTCTGGATTTGAGAAATTATTGACCCTTTTGGTAAGAGAAAGAAGGGAACAAGTGGCACATAGATTGGGATTAAGGACAGAACAGAGCACGACAGCACTGCTTCATGTACTAGATAATTCCAATGTTTGGCATCAGTAGAGTTTGTTTTACTGTCTCAGCCTGATTATAGCAAGCAGCTTACAAAGATCCTGTTATACAACTAAGGGAAAACTGTTTCTTATGATACCGAATTTAGAATAATTAATAGTCACCACTATATCACCACAGCTATCACTAAATATTTCTGTCCCTAACTGTTGTGCAAATTTGCCTTATTTATATATCATTTTTTTAAATTCAGTGGCAACAGTTCATTTGGTTGATAAGAGTTGTGAATAGCTGTTTTAAACATTTGGCAGGGGGAAATTGTGAGCAACACCCTAAATACAGTAGAGAAGATTAATAGGGTTATTTGGTCTTGTAATTTTATTTTTAATGTGATTTGTTTCTACCTCAGTTGTATATTCTGTGCAAATTCCATAAATCAAGTGTTTTACAAAGCCAAATTTTTATTAGTCATTATGTAGAATAATTTTCTAGGCACAATTCATCTTTTTACCATAGTTTTACTGTTGCTCTCCTGGTTTCAGTTTGTTGATTTCTTACTTTCCCTTTCTGCCTGGTTTTGTATTACTTGCTTAAATACTGTGAATTATAAATTTAAAAATTGGTAAATTGTTACGCCCGTGAATCAGGAGGAAAGGTATAATCACAAAATTTTGACCAGTTCTGTATCACCTGACTGGGATGATATGCCTTGGGGAATAGTGTCCTCTATCAAGATACATTGGTACAGATGGTTGTGATATTTGCTGAATTGTCAAATATCTAACGTTACCCTAGATTTTTGTTGTTGTTGTTGTTGTTTTTGCGGTACGCGGGCCTCTCACTGTTGTGGCCTCTCCCGTTGCGGAGCACAGGCTCCGGACTTGCAGACTCAGCGGCCATGGCTCACGGGCCTAGCCGCTTTGCGGCACGTGGGGTCTTCCCGGACCGGGGCACGAACCTGTGTCCCCTGCATCGTCAGGCGGACTCTTAACCACTGCGCCACCAGGGAAGCCCCCTTTTTTTTTTTTTGGCTGTGCCTCGTGGCTTGCAGGATCTTAGTTCCCCAACCAGGGATTGAACCCAGGCCCTTGGCAGTGAAAGCACAGAGTCCTAACCATTGGACTGCCAGGGAATTCCCTAGTTTTTCTTTTCTTTTTTTTTAATGTATTTTATTTATTTTTATTTTTGGCTGTGTTGGGTCTTCATTGCTGTGGGCAGGCTTTCTCTAGTTGTGACGGGCGGGGGCTACTCTTTGTTGCGGTGCATGGGCTTCTCATTGCTGTGGCTTCTCTTGTTGCGGAGCATGGGCTCTAGATGCGCAGGCTTCAGTAGTTGTGGCTCGTAGGCTCAGTAGTTATGGCTCGCAGGCTCCAGAGCACAGGCTCAGTAGTTGTGGCACACGGGCTTAGTTGCTCCATGTCATGTGGGATCTTCCTGGACCAGGGCTCGAACCCGTGTCCCCTGTACTAGCAGGTGGATTCCCAACCACTGCGCCACCAGAGAAGGCCCTAGTTTTTCTTTTTGATCAGAAATCTTCTGGGTTTTTTGTTTTTTAAAAACGGTTCAAAATCCATTCGTCTAACTCTGATCCAGTGCCAGGATGTTAAGAGTTTGAAGGAAGGATTGTTCCTACATAGCATGAGATCTTCAATACTGCCAGCAACCAAAGAAAGGGAGGGGAAATTAAAGTTGTTGAGAGAAGACAGAGGAAACAAAGGTCAACAAGGATATGGGAAACCAAAGATGAAGATGTATGATTAGATTATAAGATGTAAACAGCGTAAGATGACAAGAACTCTTTGTATGTTGGTGACTTTGGGTAGTAGATGCTGGGTACATGCTACTAAGTGAACAATGGCTTGACCATCTACCAGTCACTTAACTAGCAATCTCTTCAGTGCCTCCATCTCCCTCACCCCTAGACATCCTTTAAGTCACCAATTGCAGTTGACTCTATATCTGAATCATGTTATAAATATCTCCTCCTTCCCATTTACACTACCACTGCTCTGCTTCAAGACCATATCATCTTTGCTTCCTAAATGACCTCTCTTTTTAAAAATTTAGACTCCACACAGCCATCAAGATTAGTGGTCTGAAACACAGATGTGATAATGTCACTCTCTAGTTTAAAAACTCACCGTGATTTCTCCTTGTAGTCAAAGGTCCAAACTCTTTAGCATGGTATTCAAGGCTTTTTACAGTTGAATCTCATCCTACTATTTCTAACCTGATGTACCACTTTCCCCTCCACATGCTAACTGTACTATTGTACTCAGAATTTCACTAATATCGCCTATAGATAAGTGCTCATGGCTCCATGTTTTTGTCTAAGCTGTTTCTTTCTCCCTCTCCTGGGTAGAAGTTCTATCCAGTCCCACTAGAATATACCTTTTTTTTCTAAAGCTTTCCTCTATTCCTCTTAACCCCCAGCTGAATGAATGGTTCCCTTTTCTGCTTCAATTGTGCTTTCTGTTATGACCCCTGTTAAACTCCTTTCACCTTGTATTGTGGATTGTCTTTGACAATAGGTTGACTCCTTAAGGATGGCAGTTTGTCCTAAAATCTATCATTTATTTAGCAGAATGCCTGGCACATATAAAGGGCTTTGTGCAATGTGCATCACCTCATTTAATCTTCGCAACAACCTTGTGATGTTGGTGTTATTAGCACAACATCCCCGTTTTACAAATAAGTAAACTGAGTTGGAAAGGCCTCACAGCTGGTACAGAGCAAAACTTGAACCCCAACCTGGATCCACCAAACTCCTGAAGTCCATTCTCTTTTAACTGTTTTGCTGTATTTCTCCCCTGCCTCAATCTGTGTATCCTCAGTGCCTGGTATCCAGTAGGTACTCTGTATGTGCTTGCTGACCGAATGAATAATAAAAACTCCAGTTTCCACAGGAGGCTGGTAGTGTGGTTTCCATTGCAAGGGAGAGTAAAAGATATCAGTGCATCATTCTTAAAAATAACACGTTATCTTCAAAACACAAACATACACAAAACAATATATTGTTCATTGGGTATCAGAAATGTTAAACTTGGGGGCGGGGGTGGGGAGAAGCTCCATTTTCTAAATAATGCTAGCTTTCGTAATGCAGGACACAGCGCTGTACCGCACAGCTATAGAGTGTCTTAAATTGATTTCTAGGAAACTGCTGCCCCCTTACTTCTGTCTTTATTATGAGTGTTCTCACAAGTCAAATAATCTAATTGAACTTTTACTGGCATAATACATTGCAAAGCTAGCCATTATGCATGTAAAGTCTTTGAGGAGACAGTAAAATAAATACAGGATAATTGGGGTCAGCTTAGTTTGTTGTTAAAAAAAAAAGTATGTGTTTTTTAATCCATCATAAATTGAAAATGTACTATTAGTGCTTGTATAAATGAGTATAATACCAATTACATTTTTTCTTGGGTTCTCTTAAGTGTCAAATAGTAACTCAACATAACATTTAACACTTAAAAATCTTGAGAGTGAATGTTAGTAAGAAATAGGGAGTTTTAGTTCATCTTTTTTTTGTCACCTGATTTTTATTATAAACTTGGTAAAATCTAATGTAGATTCAACTTTTTAACTTCTCTTCTCTTTTATTTCTCTAGTGTTGTTAATAACAATACTTGTAGTGGAAGGGATTGCTGTGGCCCAAAAGACCCAAGGTAAAGACCTTACAGTGCTAATTTACTGCATGTTCAGGACAGTGGGATGGCTTATTTGGAAGAATTTCAACTTTTGAGTACTATTTCCATAATCCCTCTGGGGTGTTCCAGTGACCTAAGGCTTTCCATCAACCTGTCAGCCTCAGTTCGGCTAGGTTCAGCTGCAGTTAGCTAGAGTAAATTGTTAACATAAAGTCTTGCATTGATAAATTTTAAAAATTGGCATAACTAGTGACTCCTAGAACACTATGGATTATGTCCAAAAATCAAATGAGATTCATGCTTTATCACTAAGCAAAAATAAAAATCCCTTTTTCCGGTGTAGACAAATGAAACGTTTCCATCAATAGCTTATTCACAGCCCTGGGGACCTGTTCTAATTGTCCTTGTTTATGAAAGAGGATTAGGTAGTGTGAGTTTTGAGCCAGATATTCATGTCAGAGTTTAGTACATTTCCTAAATAACCTGACTTATTTTTATTTTCATCAAAGTTATACATACACATGACAAAAGTCAAAGCATTCTAAAAAGTTAATTAGGAAAAATCAGTCCCCCAGCCTATCACCCCATTTCTCCATGGAGATAGCCACTCTTAGCTGATTCTTTTGGTATTTTCCTGCATACTTCTAAATAACATACCATACAGGTCTTCTTGGTTATTTCAGTTTCAGGTAGTAGAAAATAATTTTCCCACCATGCGGGATGAGAATTGATCTGTTTCATGCACCTCCCCTTCACCACCTACCACATACAATGTTCTTTTAACTTTGTGCCACAGCACCCGCATCAGTGTTGTTATAATTCTGGTTACATCTCTTCAGGGTTTACGTCAAGTCACCCGTTGGGCTTTTTCAATATGAAAATTTTGTCTTTGGATGTAGGAAATTTTTCTTTCCCTTTTTTCTTGTTCAATTTTTAAAATTCCCTTTTCTCCATTTTTCTATCTTCTGTCTTCAAGGAACTCTTATTATTAAGTTACTTTTTAAAAAAATCTTTTCTGTTTTCCATTTCTCTTTTAACTGTTTTCTTCTCAATAGTCTACACTGAGACTTCCTCAACTTTATCTGCTAAACCAAGAATTGGAAAACTTTTTTCTATAAAGGGCCAGATAGTAATCATTTAAGGTTTTGAAGACCTTTGTAGTCGAAGGAGCACCTATTCAGATCTGCAGTTGCAGGGTGAAAACAGCCATAGACAGTACAGTACGCACATGAATGGGCATAGATATAGTCCAGTGAACTTGATTTACAATAACAGGCAGCAGGCCAGATTTGGTCCAGGGCCATAGTTTATGGACCTCTGCTCCAAACGTGATATTTTTTCATTTCTTCTATTTTTAAAAGCTTTCATTTGTTTTCTAAATGTTCTGTTTTTTAGAGTATGCCTTGTTCTTGTCTTATCGATATACATTTGACCCTTGAACAATGCAGGGGTGAGCGGTGTTGATCCCCACATAGTCAAAACCTGCCTCTGTATTCGCGGTTCCGCATCCTCACATTCAGCTGACTGCAGACCAAGTAGTGAGTGCACCCACGCGGTTCAATCCCATGTTGTTCAAGGGTCAACTGTACTCTCTTGTTCTCTGAGGAGATTAAATGATCGTTTCGTTTAGTGCTTTTTTTTAATATTCTATAATCTTTGTATCCTCAGAGTTGCTTTTTTGTTTGTTTTTAATCTGTTTTTCATATTAGAGGCTTTCCTCAAATGTCTGGTGCTCCTTGAATGCCTTTCGTAGTTATGAGAGGAGCATGCAGATCTTCTCGTTAGCTGTCTGCAAGTGTAGACAGGGCTTCTTTACCGCCACCCTCCCTGGTGAGTGACCAAGTCCACATCCTTGAGTCTTTTTCTTTGGGCTTATTAGATTCCCCAGAAAAGATTAAGATTCCATTTCCTGCTTAGAGGCTCTACATCTGATCAAGAGGCCTTTGGGAAGTTGAGTGGGGGAAGAGACGGGAGGTGTGGTTCAGCATGTTAACATTCACCTCATCTCCCTGTTTTCAGGTTGGTATTTTTACCCTCAGCTGTGCCTGGTGTCCCCTGGTCCAGCAACCCTGTTGTACCTTCTCCAAAGAAATAGTCTCATTTTCTGATATGGTGATAGAGCAGCAGATACTTAGATTTGTGGAGTAGGGGAGGGTATTAGAGATCAAATTGATTCCAAAGAGACTTTTAACCAAGCCTCATGTTTTTAAAAAGCCCAACTTCACCACCTTCTCGCCCACTGCCAGAGATACCTAGTGCTGCCAGTTGTTATTATTGCATCCACCTCTTTGTACTTATGGGTTTACGCCCTTAAAAAAATTGTTTACTGTCATTTAAGTGGACTTTGAAGAAGGAGCAGAGCCAAATGCATGTGTTCAATCTACAACCTTTAACTAAAATAAAATCCCTTGGTAATCTTTGAATCTTATTTGACTTCATGCTAAACTAAATGTAGAGGTACCACACCAGAGATAAATTCCTGGGGTCCTTTTATTTTTATGTCAGAATTGAATTTTATAGAGTTTTAGTGATTTATCAGATTCTCCCACATGGTTTTGCCCTTGTAAAATCTACGCATTTTATTTCCCCGTTCTTATACATGGCAAACTTGTCCTCTAGAGCAAATGCTTCTAGCCAGCACAGCATACCATCTTCACCTTCATTTCACTTCTATATTCAATTTGTTATGCTGAATTTGTCAGTGGTTCTTAAAAATTATATATATGTGTGTGTAACAGAGTGGGCAGTTGTTTGGGGAAGCTGTGGGGGGAACTATAAGTGATGTTTTACGTGTTTCCCTAAGATGGACAAAATATTGGAATCAAGCACATTCCTGCAACCCAGTGTGGCATTTGGGTTCGAACCAGCAATGGAGGTCATTTTGCTTCACCAAATTATCCTGACTCATATCCACCAAACAAGGAATGTATCTACATTTTGGAAGGTATTTGACCAATTTCTCTCTTTTGTTGGATGAATTTTTACTTATTGTAAAACTAAATATATTGGTTAAGTGCCCTGGTTAAACCAGTTTGAACAAAATTTAAATATGTATTTTAATTAAACTGTAGTCATTATAAATATTTCTTAATACTGACATTAAGAAAATAATGGTTGAAATTTTATAGGAATTTTGGATCTCCTAAAATATAATTTAACTAGATGCATCAGTATATATGAGAAACTTCTCTGATAAGAAACCTAAGCTTACTGGTATCTCTTATTAGCCTTTCTGCAAATTTATGTCCATAGTTACATTATATGTTTCTTTCATTTCTTCTGTTTTTCTATTCATCATGGTACATTGTATCTCATGAACTAAGCATTAGCTTCTCAACTCTAATTTTAATCAATTAAGTACATTCAATTTAATAAATAACATATGCCAAAGGGAAAGATTACTATAGTTCTACGGAGTAGCATTATTATTATCTTATTAATATACAATGTAACATTTATCATGAATTTTATGTATAACAGTTCTCATTATGATCCTCATCTATGAAACAGTAACAGAGCAGTTGTTGTGCTTTTCTCACTTGTGTCAGGCCATTTTTACTTTTTCTTGTTTGCGTTGCCCTAATTTGCTTACTCTTATTTTCTAGCTGCTCCACGTCAAAGAATAGAGTTGACCTTTGATGAACATTATTATATAGAACCATCATTTGAATGTCGGTTTGATAACTTGGAAGTTCGAGATGGGCCGTTTGGTTTCTCTCCACTTGTAGATCGTTACTGTGGTGTGAAAAGCCCTCCATTAATTAGATCAACAGGGAGATTCATGTGGATTAAGTTCAGTTCTGATGAAGAACTTGAAGGACTAGGATTTCGAGCAAAATATTCGTTTATTCCAGGTAAAGAAGTTATTGTTTCAGTGGCTAGGTCTCACTCTGGTTTTAGAATCTTAAGGCTAGAAAAGAGATAATTCAGTCAAGGTAATCAAATCAAGGCTTTAAAGAAGTTAGAAAGGTCAAAGGGAAATCAGTCCATGAATTAATAAAAACTTAACAAAAAATTAGAAATAAAACTATGTCACTTGAATTTTGAAGTATATCATAGATGGTGTCTCATTATTTCTTAGATTTCTGTATGTTTTATAGCATATATCAAATGCCAAAGATACCACAAATAAATACATTTAAAAAATAATTCAACAAATTGTCTTATTTTCATGATCTATACCAAAAATTATTTTGGCAGGCTTTTTCCATTGGAACGATTCAATTACTCATTTGAATAAACAGTCTCTAGAAAATACTGAGCAATAGAAAGAATAGCGCTCTGCACTTGGAGGCAAAAGATCTGGGTGTGAATCCTTTCTCTGCCACCAACTAGCTATAAAATTTACTATTAAGCACAGAGCTGTGCCTAAGAGTTGCTGTTGCTAAGATGGGAATATCTTCCTGAGGCCACCATAACTAATTCCCAGAAACTTGGCAGCTGAAGACAACAGTAGTTTATTTTCTCAGAGTTCTGGAGGCCAGAATCCAGCAGGGTCATGTTCCCTGTGGGAACTCCAGGGGAGAATCCATTCCTAGCCTCTTGCAGCTTCTTGTGGCTGCCCCAGCATTCCTGGACGTGTGGCCTCATCACTCCAATCTCTGCCTCCATCTTCACATCCCCTGTCTCCTCAGAATCCTTAGCTTAATCACATCCTTTGCCTTAAGATGTAATATTCACTTTTTTTAATCTTATAAGGTAGTATTCATAGGTTATGATGATTAGGATGTGGACATATATTTGGGTGGTGGGAGAGCACACCCACCTATCAGCATACTCTATCTTACCTACCACACGGTTATGTGGGAACACTTTATAGTCCTCAAAGCCTGTCTCCTGTAAAGATATGCATATCCCTAATGTGGCAGCACAAAGATACACTAGTTATTGCTCCTGTCTTCCAAGAGTTTACAAACTTAATAAGATGAAAAAGTAACTTAATGTAACAATTATATAATTATAAAATTATATAATCTTTTTGCTTTTATTTGTGTTTTCGTGCAATAAATTTGCTAACTTAAAAAAATTAAATCATATCCAAATGAAAATATCCATAACCTTATCACCCTATAAATAAAAAACCGGTATTAACAATATGGTGTGTATCCCTTCAGATGTTTTTCTATATCTGTTTATTTTGTTTATTTTATATAACAGAGATCATGCTATTCTTTCAGCTAGATTACCAGCTTTTTTGCCTGAACAATGTAGTCACCTTTTTTTTCCCTGTTAGTAAATGTGTTAATGGTATTTTTAAGTGTCACTTCAGTATTTATGTCCTCAATGTCAAAACGATAACATTTTCAAAAAGTAAAATTTATGCTTTTTTTTTTTTAGAACAGTTTTTAGGCTCACAGCAAAACTGAGCAGAAAGTACAGAGTTACCATATACCTCCTAACCACCCCCCCACACACACAGCTACCTCCAAAACCTAAAATGAACATCCTGCACTAGGGGTACATTTGTTACAACTGATGAACCTGCATTGACACATCATCACCGAAGTCCATATTTTACATTAGGGTTCACTCTGTTTTTTGATTTTTTTTTTTTTCAGCCATCCGTATACATATATCCCCTCCTTTTTGGATTTCCTTCCCATTTGGGTCACCACAAAGCATTGAGTAGAGTTCCCTGTACTATATACAGCAGGCTCTCATTAGTTATCTATTTTACACATAGTATCAATAATGTATATATGTCAATCCCCATCTCCCAATTCATCCCACCACCCTCCCCCCTTGGTATCCATACCTCTGTTCTCTAGGGTTCACTCTTAGTGTCGTACATTCTGTGGGTTTGGACAAATGTATAGTGACATATGTCTGCCATTACAGTATTATACAGAGTATTCCCACTGCTCTAAAAATCCTGTGGGCTCCACCTGTTCATCCCTCCCACCCCAACCCCTGACAACCACTGATCTTTTTACTGTCTCCATAGTTTTGCCCTTTCCAGAACGTCATACGGTTGGAATCATACAGTATGTAGGCTTTTCAGATTGGCTTCTTTTACTTAATAATATTTACTTAACGTTCCTCCATGTTTTTTCATGGCTTGGTAGCTTGTTTCTTTTTAGTGCAGAATAATATTTCGTTGTATGGATGTACTACAGTTTGTTTATCCATTCTGTTGAAGGATATCTTGGCTGCTTCCAGGTTTTAGCAACCACAGATAAACCTGCTGTAGACATCCATATGCAGGTATTTGTGTGGACAAGTTTTTAACTCATTTGGCTAAGTACCATGGAGTGCAATTGCTGGATCATATTAAAATTTGTCTTTAGTTTTTATTTAAATGGACTGTGCTGGTGGTGGCACAACATTGTGAATGTACTTAATGCCACTGAATTGTACACTTAAAAATGAGTAAAAGGATAAATATTATGTTATATGTTTTACTACAATAAAAATAAAATTTAAAAATTACAAACAGGAGTCTAAAAAAGCTTAATTTGAAAATTCAGATAGAAGACATATATATCAACCCACCAGAATGAAAAAATTGCTAGTCTTAAAAGATCTCAGAATTTTTAACTAGCCTGTTTAAACCTATTTTAATTCACAGTTTATTGTATGTAACTGGTTGCTCAATTCTTGTTAAAATTGTTTTCTTTGTTGTTTTGGCCATGCCATGTGGCATGCGGGATCTTCCCAACCAGGGATCGAACCTGTGTCCCCTGCAGTGGAAGCGCAGAATCTTAACCACTGACTTTCTGCATGGTTATCAAAGTACATGTTGAAAAAAGTAAGAGTAAAATTTTTAGCTTAATCTAGGATACATCACAGAGACTGTTCTTTTTTAACTTAATAATCTAAACCCAACCTCCCTAAATAAAAGGGAGTGACGACACTTCAGCAATTTTGCAGAGGAATGTCAAAGAGAAATCTAAATTTAAAGAGCATTAGAGTAGAAAGTCATAGCAGCTATCTGGCAGGTGGGTCAGAATTTCTTCACAGTAGGAAAGAATTCTAGGACATTGTCATTATTGCACTAAAATTTCCAGAATTATCCCAGTTACTTCCAGGACGTAGCAATCCATTAAGAGCCTCTCCCTCAACAAATATCACCAGTAGCTCAGATAATTTCATTTATTTAGAAGATACTAATTTCTCATCATCTTTAGTAAGTTTCATCCGTATTTACAAATACTTAGACAAAATTTACTTTATATGACTTTGAATAACTAGACAGCCATGATTTAGCTATTTATGAATTGTCTATTTATTTTGACATTTTTTTTTCTTTTAGTGGTAAAATTGTGGTATCATCAGCCACACTATAAAGGCAAGAAAGAGTAAGAAAGAAAAATGTTACAGTAAGAAAAACTGTCTAGAGAATTAGAATCTAGTCCTGATGTTGCCATTATATGGTCTAAAAAAGTCATAATCTCTCTGATTCAGTTTCCTCATCTATAAAACAGAATAGTACATGATCTTCTTGATGTTATTGTCATTAGCATAATATTAAACATAAGGTCTGTAGAAACTCTGAAGTACTATAAAATGCAAATATAAGGTAATATAGTATAGAAATCCTTAGCATTTTATTATAATTTATATTTTAACCATAAGCCATATGAAGTTGCTCTCATGATACATAAAACTAATAGAAGAAAAAGAACTGCATTTCTTCAAAGAATCTTTACATATAAAGTTGCCTGGCTTTGTTTTTTAATATTTTTAAAAGCATTATTCAAATGATTAAGATGTTTGTTTTTTCTTTCAGGCAGTCTAAACTTATTTGCAAAAATCTGACTCTATATAGGACTTTGTAATGTCTTTTGATACTAAAGTGTCAATCAATTCAGTTAATTGATTTAGTTCATAAAAATCAAATACCTGGCCAGCTTAATTAAATCAGTTATTTTGATATAAACTATTGGTTGTCAGTTTTCTATGAACTATTTCATAGGGCAGACTATCCTATATATCACCTAGTCATCTCTCTTTTTCCTGCCATTGTGGAAAAAACAACTTACTAGCTGCTACTGTGGTGGGATAAATTATATGTAACATAAAATTCACTATCTTAAACCTTTTAAGTGTACAAGTCAGTGGCATTAAGTACACTTAACAATGTTGTGCAACCATCACACCGTGCATTTCCAGAACTTTTTTTGTCATCCCAAGCTGAAACTCTGTCCCCATTAAACACTTAACTCCCTATCCCTCCCTCCCTACAGCCCTGTGAAAACAGTCTCTGAATTCGACTAATCTAGGGACCTCAATTAAGGGAATCATATAGTGTCCTTAACTGTCTGGCTTATTTTACTTAGCATCATGTTTCCACACACATCCATGTTGTAGCGTGTGTCAGAATTTCATTCCTTTTTAAGGTTGGATAATATTCCATTGTATTATTTATACTACATTTTGTTTACTCATTCATCCATCAATGGACTAGCTACTGCAGTTGACATAGAGTTGTGAGTTTTCAGGTAGCATAAATAAGTTTTTAGTTCATAATTGGATCAAAAGTATAAAGGTTATCATTTTTAAAATATCGATCCTATAAGTTTGCACTGCAATATGCTCATAAATAGCCAGTGGTCTGTAGTTTACACAAATGAAAGCTTTCTCTTGCTTTGTTAAGTATAGCATTAGACATAACGTAAGACATTAATCCTTAAAGTAACGCTAAACTACCTCAATGCCAATGACTTTCTTCTTTTCTCTGTTACAGATCCAGACTTTACTTACCTAGGAGGTATTTTAAATCCCATCCCAGGTTTAGTATATTACCTCTTTTTCCTCATGGCATCTTTGATCGGTCTTATTTTCCTTTGAACATCATTCATCTGTTCTTTCTAGATTGCCAGTTTGAGCTGTCAGGAGCTGACGGAATAATACGTTCTAGTCAGGTAGAACAAGAGGAAAAAACAAAACCTGGCCAAGCAGTTGATTGCATCTGGACGATTAAAGCTACTCCAAAAGCTAAGGTAGTATTAAGTATGCAGTCACTTCTAAGAAGAACATAATAAGTTGTGATTTGTATAATGTACTATTTTGGTTAATGCAGATACTTATTATTTAAACTGACGTTACAACTTTTTAAAAATTTTATTTCAGTCACATTATTGAACACCTAGCATCTCAGCATTGTTGTAGTTAAATAAACTACAACATAAACTTCAGGAATGTCACGCATACATTAATATTCTTATTTTAAGATTCTTAAAATCTGTGTGTTCCTAATTGGAGAGTATAGGTATTGATCAGTGTGATCATAGATTCATAAACACCTCTATGAGGAGGTAAAATAGGCCATAGACGTTAAAGTTAAGTATCATCTTAGTTCTCTTCTTACCATGCTGTCGTCTGCTAATCATATAGAGTTTTTATTGGAAAGTACCACAGGGAAGGATGTTTTTAAATAACTGACAGGTTGAGACTGGTTGCTAACTACTTCTGCTTTTTGCTTTTAGTTTGTACTTCTAGGAATAGTAACAGTTAAAATTATATTTATTGTTTATATATGTAAACAGAAAAGAAAGAGGGTAGGAGAATTTAAAGAATTAAGAAAATCAAATTTAAAGTTTCTGGTAATATGATGGATGAGATAACCTTAAAACCTACCTATTACAAAACACTTAGAAACATTGGATAAAATATAACAGATATCCTTTTAAAACCATAGATAAGCTCCAAAAAAGAAGATAATTCTTATGAACTAGAATGAAAGAGCTATAAATGAGAGCAGTAAACTGAAATCGATGGTACAAATGCCCCTTGCTGATTTCAGTAACCTATGACTACTCAAGGGTAGATATTCAGGAGCTTGGCATCACCCACACTGAGACAAATAAAAGGCCTAGGGTCCGTGTGGCCTTTGAGAGGACTGCCACATGAAGCTGGAGCCCTCAAAGGGAGATTATTGGCATGAAATGGTAGATTAGAAAAACTCTTCCACTAGCGCAAATTGGTAAAAAAGAAGCTTATCCTGGGCTCAGTCTTAAGATGCGGGTGAGGCTGAGGTCTCCCCTAACCGTTTATACCTGTATCTTTATTACAGTTTGGGATGTGAACTTACATTCCATGCTCAGCCCAGGAACCACTTAGCCCCAAAATGAACAAAATGGTCCTGGACTTATTAAACCTTTTGAGGCACCTGAAAAGATAAATACAAAATAACCATGTAGGCTACAGGATTGCTATAGCTAAAACACTGCTGAAGTAAGCTTACAACCTAAAATTAGAAAACATAGGTGAACAACGCACCATGAGTGAGTTAACAGGCATAACAGCAAGAAGTTTCTTAGATCCCCAAGAACTGAAGTCTTAAATATCCTACATTAGTAATCAAAAGAATGAGAAAGAAAAGTACCAAGTATGCTTTAAAAATAACCAAATGGAACTTAAGTAAAAATTACAGTATTGAAAGACAGATTGGAGAAAATTACCCAGAAAGTAGTTTGAGGATGGGAGACAGTGGCAATTTATTAAGAAACTTGGAAGAAATGACAATAGAATTACGTTTTCAAAGTGCTAAGGAAAAAAAATTAACTGGCAATCTAAAATTTGAAAATTCCATGTCCAACTAATCTGTCTTTCAAGAATGAGGGCAAGGGTTCAAAATGGCGGAGTAAAAGGACATGCTCTCACTCCCTCTTTTGAGAGCACCAGAATCACAACTAACTGCTGAACAGTCATCGACAGGAAGACACTGGAACTCACCAAAAAAGATACCCCACATCGAAAGACAAAGGAGAAGCTGCACTGAGATGGTCGGAGGGGCGCAATCACAATAAAATCAAATCCCATAACTGCTGGGTGGGTGACTCAGAAACTGGAGAACACTTACACCTCAGAAGTCCACCCACTGGAGTGAAGGTTCTGAGCCCCACGTCAGGCTTCCTAACCTGGGGGTCTGGCAATGGGAGGAGGAATTCCTAGAGAATCAGACTTTGAAGGCTAGCACGATTTGATTGCAGGACTTCAGCAGGACTGGGGGAAACAGAGACGCCACTCTTGGAGGGCACACACAAAGTAGTGTACACGTCGGGACCCAGGGGAAGGAGCAGTGACCCCATAAGAGACTGAACCACACCTACCTGCTAGTGTTGGAGGGTCTCCTGCAGAGGTGGGGGGTAGCAGTGTCTCACAGTGACACAAGGAGACTGGCAGCAGAAGTTCTGGGAAGTATTCCATGGCGTAAGCCCTCCCAGAGTCCACCATTAGCCCCACCAAGGAGCCTGGGTAGGCTCCAGTGTTGGGTCGCCTCAGGCAAAACAACCAACAGGAAAGGAGCCCAGACCGAACCATCAGCAGACAAGTGGATTAAAGTTTTACTGAGCTCTGCCCCAGAGCAACAGAGAGCTCTACCCACCACCAGTCCCTCCCAGCAGGAAACTTTCACAAGCCTCTTAGATAGCCTCATCCACCAGAGGGCAGATACCAGAAACAAGAAGAACTACAGTCCTGCAGCCTGTGGAACAAAAACCACATTCACAGAAAGATAGACAAGACAAAAAGGCAGAGGGCTATGTACCAGATGAAGGAACAAAATAAAACCCCAGAAAAACAACTAAATGAAGTGGAGATAGGCAACCTCCCAGAAAAAGAATTCAGAATAATGGTAGTGAAGATGATCCAGGACCTCGGAAAAAGCATGGAGGCAAAGATCGAGAAGATGCAATAAATGTTTAACAAAGACCTAGAAGAATTAAAGAACAAACACCTAGAAAAATTAAAGAACAAACCAACAGAGATGAACAGTACAATAACTGAAATGAAAAATACACTAGAAGGAATCAATACCAGAATAACTGAGGCAGAAGAACAGATAAGTGACCTGGAAGACAGAATGGTGGAATTCACTGCTGCAGGAGAAAATAAAGAAAAAAGAATGAAAAAAATGAAGACAGCCTAAGAGACCTCTGGGACAACATTAAATGCAACAACATTCACATCATAGGGGTCCAAGAAGGAGAAGAGAGAGAGAAAGGACCCGATAAAGTATTTGAAGAGATTATAGTTGAAAACTTCCCTAACATGGGAAGGGAAATAGCCATCCAAGTCCACGAAATGCAGAGAGTCCCAGGCAGGATAAACCCAAGGAGAAACGCCGAGACACATAGTAATCAAATTGGCAAAAATTAAAGACAAAGAAAAATTATTGAAAGCAGCAAGGGAAAAACGACAAATAACATACAAGAGAACTCCCATAAGGTTAACAGCTGATTTCTCAGCAGAAACTCTACAAGCCAGAAGGGAGTAGCATGACATATTTAAAGCAATGAAAGGGAAGAACCTACAACCAAGATTACCCAGCAAGGATCTCATTCAGATTCGATGGAGAAAGCAGAAGCTTTACAGACAAGCAAAAGCTAAGAGAATTCAGCACCACCAAACCAGCTAAAGGAACATTTAAACAAATGCTAAAGGAACTTCTCTACGTGGGAAACACAAGAGAAGAAAAGGACCTACAAAAACAAACCCATAACAAGAAAATGGTAATAGGAACATACATATCGATAATTACCTTAAACGTGAATGGATTAAATGATCCAACGAAAAGACACAGGCTCGCTGAATGGATACAAAAACAAGACCCATATATATGCTGTCTACAAGAGACCCACTTCAGACCAAGGGACACATACAGACTGAAAGTGAGTGGATGGAAAAAGATACTCCATGGAAATGGAAATCAAAAGAAAGCTGGAGTAGCAGTACTCATATCAGATAAAATAGACCTAAAGAATGTTACAAGAGACAAGGAAGGACACTACATAATGATGAAGGGACCAATCCAAGAAGAAGATATAAAAATTATAAATGTATATTCACCCAACACAGGAGCACCACAATGCATAAGGCAGATGCTAACAACTATAAAACAGGAAATTGACAGTAACACAATAATACTAAAGGACTTTAACACCTCACTTACACCAATGGACAGATCATCGAAACAGAAAATTAATAAGGAAACCCAAGCTTTAAATGACACAATAGACCAGATAGATTTACTTGATATTTATAGGACTTTCTGTCCAAAAACAGCAGACTACACTTTCTTCTCAAGTTCAGATGGAACATTCTCCAGGAAAGATCACATCTTGCGTCACAAATCAAGCCTCAGTAAATGTAAGAAAGTTGAGATCATATCAGTCATCTTTTCTGACCACAACACTATGAGATTAGAAGTCAGTTACAGGGGAAAAAAACTTAAAAAACACAAACACGTGGAGGCTAAACAATACATTACTACATAACCAAGAGATCACTGAAGAAATCAAAGAGGAAATCAGAAAATACCTAGAGACAAATGACAATGAAAACATGACGATCCAAAGCCTATGGGATGCAACACAAGCAGTTCTAAGAGGGAGGTTTATAGCAATACAACCTATCTCAAGAAACAAGAAAAATCTCAAATCTAAGCTTACACCTAAAGGAACCAGAGAAAGAAGAAGAAACAAAACCCAAAGTTAGTAGAAGGAAAGAAGTCATAAAGATCAGAGCAGAAATAAATGAAATAGAAAAAAAGAAAACAATAAAACTAAAAGGTCAATAAAACTAAAAGCTGGTTCTTTGAGAAGATAAACAAAATTGATAAAACATTAGCCAGACTCATCAAGAAAAAGAGGGAGAGGACTCAAATCAATAAAACTAGAAATGAAAAAGGAGAAGTTACAACAGACACCATCAAAATACAAAGCATCCTAAGAGACTACTACAAGCAATGCTATGCCAATAAAGTGGACAACCTGGAAGAAATGGACAAATGCTTAGAAACGTATAACCTTCCAAGACAGAACCAGGAAGAAATAGAAAATATGAACAGTCCAATCACAAGTAATGAAATTAAAACTGTGATTAAAAATCTCCCAGGAAACAAAAGTCCAGGACCAGATGGCTTCACAGGTGAATTCTATCAAACATTTGGAGAAGAGCTAATACCCATCCTTCTCAAACTCTTCCAAAAAATTGCAGA